TCTGCTACAGTGGAACTGTACCCCATGAATTGCTTTTTCAGTCTTCTGCCCCCGTTTTTGACCTCTCACTGTCAGAGTCTGACCACCGCCTCTGGCTGCCACAAACACAAGTCTAGGAAAAAACTGTCGTACTAAAAGGACTAGAAATATCTTCAAAGAGGGATTGTAAATTTAAGGGGCCGTTTCTCATTCCTAGCAGAGGCTGTCTGCTAGGAACTAGGGCGGAACGGAAGAGCAAAAATCTTCCAGTCTGCTCAGTCCCAGGAGCAATCACCTCATTTCTGCCACCATACTTCTGCTCAGCAGGTTCCATCTTTGGCTTGGCAGTAGCTTTCCTCGAGCCGTTCCAGCCTGTGAATCTTTGGCTCGCTAGCAAAGAGAATTTTTACATCTTTAGCACCCAGAGCATCTTACACGGGCGGTCGTTCTGGGTGGAGATGAATACGTTTCGGTAACTTTGCCGGGTGCACAGCTGCAGGGCCAGCAGCAGGGGAGAGCTGGAGGTTTTCCGGTCACGGGAGGGGTGTGTGGCTTACTGGCTGCCCCTCCAGTAGAAAAGTCCCTGGTGACTGGGCCGTCCGTACTGTGGGAACGCGCGGGTGCCTGGCACCGCATCCCACAGCCGGCAGGTGCCAGAAGAAGGTGATAAGAGATTTCTAGACCGACTGGCTTGTCTTTGGGCACCGGGTGGTGTGTTTACATTGCTGCAGCTCCTGTGGCTGTTGTGGCAGCCCCACTGCAGTTTAGTCACAGAAATACAGATGTGAAAACAGACCGCAGAGCTGAGCTGATGGGGAACCCAGAGAGGGTGAATTTTCTCTTTTTCTCACTAGTATTTGCTGTCAGCAAAATGAAGTTGCATTGGTGCTTCACTCATCAGAAAAAAAAATTGTGATGCTTATTCCTGCCAGACACAAATAAAGACAGTTTTCTGATCGCTGATGAAGCCCTTCCCCCAGTTTTCTTTCGTAATGCCTCCATTTGATCTGTGGAAAAAACATAGGCATCACCCCCAAAAGGTCTAAATTCAGTCCCTCACTATTAAAGAGACCCTTTTAGACCCTTCAGGCTGTTAGGTGTTCACCTAGTACTTGTAAAAGCTACTAACGGTATCTTAACTCCAGAGATAAGAAACCCCTTTAAGCTGACTGATCTCTTTGGTTCTACAGATCAGACTTGTGGTTGAAGAGGGACTGAATCAGCTGCCGTACACAGAATGCACCGTGACCACTCCAACAGGTACGCAGGGAACTGCTCTTCCCCTACGCAGGGCGAGAAGTGGAAGTGTAACTAATACCAAAAAATACAGAACTGTTAAACATAGAGTAGCTCGAGTTGGAAGGTCCTTGTAAGGATCATTGAGTCCAACTCCCTGTTCCTCGCAGGACTTCCTAAAACTGAACAACGTGTCTAAATGTCACCCAGATGTCCCTTGAGCTCTGACAGGCTTGGTGCCGTGACTGCTTCCTGGGAGCCCCGGGTTTAACAATCAGGGCAGAATACAGAGTGCAGGTCCCTTCCGGTACTGGAAGAGCTAGAAGGGGCGTAACACCACCACTGAGCAGGACAGACAGTCTGCATTCCTGTCACTTCACAGGTTTTAAACTGCTCTTGCAAAACCGCGACGAAGGTTTACCAGCGCGTGTGCAAGATGGGTTTCCGTGCCCGTCCCGCAGTGCTGCGTTAAACCTGAGGACATGTCACATGCCCACAGCTTTTCCAGCCCAGCCTAAATCTGTCTGCAGCCGGGGGGCAGCTGGGCGTCACGACAGCAGGAAATGCGACGTGGCTGTGCTGACGCTAGAGGAAACCCACTGCAGGAGCTTGGGTTGGCAGCTAAGTGTGACGATACCCAAGGTGGCCTGTGTTCCGCAGAGGTAGCTGCGTAGCGCAGCAGCAGCTTCTGGGAACCGCTCAAGGCGGGCGCACAGCATGCCTGTAAGACAGGCCCCACGAGTCCTCCTCCCCAGGAGCTCCACTGCAGTTCTGCAGGGGAGAGCAGCTCTACAGTCACACCCTCTTCCCTGCCCCCCTCCGCTGTACATCATTTGCGTGTCTTTTAGTTTAGCTACAGAAAAGACAGGCTGGAAACACTCAGTTCTGGAACAAGACAGCGTTTAGGAAGGTGCTCAGGAGGCACAATCACTCACTTGGCTCCTTTTCAAATAAACCAGCAGCTACTCTGAGCATCGGTGTCACACCTGTTCCAGGTCAGTTGTTGACGCAGAGATTCACAACCACCTTCTCTCCACATTACACAGTTTGACTGGCAAGTAACATCCCTTGGAAGCTCTACAGTTCCTCTTGAGTGGGCCACTACCCTGGCTGTGGCCAGAGAGGCTGGGACCTTGCCCTCCAAGCACACACTGCCTTGGTGAAAGGCTTGGCTTCCTGCCCTGACTCCTGGCACCCTGTGGGGAGAGTCTTCCTGCCTGAGACCCTCAGCTCTGCAGCCAGGGTGTTTACCCTTTCACTCCCACACCTCTGCCCAGTGAGGGAGCTAAACTGGCCTCAGCTGAGTTCTCCCAGTAGGAATTGCCCCTTGAGAATGCAGGTGCTTCTGCCTGAATTCCTGCTTATCTATACTGAGCGCTTTCCTCCGAGCACTTGTAAGATGCCATAAGCACAGTGACTCCTGCTGTCGGTGCTCAGAAGCAGAGCACCCAAGGGTACCAGTGGAACACCCTATTCTTTCTGCTTTAAGGGAGCCTTTGGACTTTTTTCCATCAGGCAGGGGAATACGCAACACCTACAAGGAACATCACCACGTGTCCTCCCAGCAGTGGTGCTGGGCGAGCCTGTCACCAGCTTCTGGGCTTAGATCTGAAGAACTATGGCTGGACAACCTTGCTTTGCTGTCTTTATCTCTGAATTAACAAGCGACCTGGGCAGGCAGTACTGATGATCCTCTCTCTCACAGGCACCCCATGGCTCTTTCAGCACTTCCAAGCACGATGACAGTAGCACTGCAGCATCCTGTTTCAGTTCTAACTCTTCCCCCTGCAGCACTGGGCTCTTGGGGACATACCGTTTACCCTTTATTTTGCTGAGCATCCTCCATTTAAAATAATCACAGGCTACCTGAGATATAAAACGTACTGGGAAAGTGCCACTTCCCTGACACGATTTTAAAGGTAAAACCAGCACAAGTTCTTTACCAGTTACGGTTTTGGCCCTGTTGTGTTGCTTGTCTGAGGCTGCAGGATACAGCGTGTGCATCGGCTCATGCCCCTGCGGAGAGACGTGGCGCTCGCTCTTCTCCCCTGGGTATTCAGGGAATCTCAGTCACTGACACCTGGTTTCGTTCCTCTCACAGGACACAAGTACGAAGGAGTCCGATTTGAAAAGGGAAACTGCGGCGTCAGCATCATGAGAAGCGGTAGGCAGTTTCTGGTGGTTGAATGAGCACCAATTAAGCGTTTTGGGAGCCTGTACGCAGCATCCTATCAAAAACGTGCAGCAACACTTCTCTACAGCAGTTTTACCCAAACCTGCCAGTCGTTACCAATCACAGAATGTCACGTGATACGTTTCATTAACGTTTTAGGAGACAAGTAGCCACAACAGATTTCCTCCAGCCTCGTCTCTGGCAGCTGCCAACTGTGAGAGGCCAGGCCAGGTGCCCACTTCTGCCCAGAGACGGGGCTCCAAATAAGCCACGCCCAGCGGTGGTAGCCCTTGGGGTCTGGCCCATTGCCGCGGAAACCTTTGGATGTGCGATGTAGCATCCAGGGGCTCCGCAGCTTCCTGCGCTGCGTTTCGCGCCGTGGCATCTCTGGGCAGAGCTCGAAGATGTTCTCCAAACCCCACACGTTGGCTTTGACGCTTCCAGCTCTCGCCTCTGAGAGCTTAGTGCCGGTGTCAGGGAACACGGATACCCAGCAGCTGAGTAACACCAGAGAGGCTCGTTTTTCTGTCTAAACAGAGAAAAAAGAAAAATGGCTGCAAGTGGTTTTAACGCTTAGAAGGATGGAAAAACCCTCCTGTTTAGAACTCCTCACCCACACAGTGCTGGGGCTGTCTGACTGCAGCATCTTGCAGTTGTGCCCTCTCTCAGCCTGTAACAATTTGTTGTTGGTTTGTTTTGCTGCTCGTCTTGAGGAGAGGCAATGGAACAAGGTTTACGAGACTGCTGTAGGTCAATCCGCATCGGAAAAATCCTGATACAGAGCGACGAGGAGACCCAGAGGGCGAAGGTGTACTACGCGAAGTTTCCACCCGACATCTACAGGAGAAAAGTTCTGCTGATGTACCCAATACTAAGTAAGTGCCTTTCGTCACTGTGTTCACTTGGACTTGTCTGGACGGGGAGTGCGCTGGGTTTAAAGGAAAAATTCCAGATTTCAGGGGCTTTGACAGGCTTTTTGCTGGGTTTAGGTGACAGAGTAGGGCATTTACCAGGCCGCACCAGCACGCCAGCCTGCACCAGCACTAATGCAGAGCAGACCACGGGGGCACTGCTGCGTGTGTGAGAAAGGCTGAAGCACTAAGATTTGATATAAATTTACTTTTTTTTAGTTTTGCCATGAGAAAAGACTCAAACAGTATTTTTGTCATGCTATAAAAAGGCATTTTTGGATTAATAGTATGATCCTAGAAATGATATTAAAACTAAATACAGTTAATACTGCCGAAAGAGTAAATCTGGTAAATGTGGTTAAGGAGTTTGTCAGGATGAAGTAACTTTTCCAGTCTAAGATTTAATTCTGGTTCTACACATGGAGCTCTTAATTGCCATTTTACTGTGTTAGATGAGCTTTCTTGCCTCAGGGCTTTAATAAAGCCCACCGACCTCAGTGCTTAGCACCTGCAGAGCTGGCTGTCGCAGAGCGGAGGTGAAATCCCTTCAGCAGGGGACCCAAGGCTGGACAGTTAATAGCCGCAGAGGGGAC